GGGAAAGAGCAGCATCATGAAATAATTCTTGTAAAAATGATAGTAAGGATATAGGATGATATGCAGACTTTGGACACGGTTTACATATAATTTTTTGCAATCACCAAAAAGGGAAATCTTCATTGTGGATCATTTGTACTTGACAGATTACTGTACCATTTTGTTTTCCAGTCATCTACCTAAGGCAAGAAAAGTGTCATATAAAAAATGGATATAAATTCCTTGTTTTATATTAAATGTAAGGTAGTACAAATTTAACAGATTAAACTGTCTTCACCTTTGAAAAGGCAAGTTCAATTTCTGGTTAGGTTAGAAAGAAATGCATCCTATTTCTGCAAACAGGCTCCTAATTTTTATGATTTTTGATAGGTGATCATTGCTAAATAATTTTTTCAGGGATGATGAAGAAGAAAGGATCATATTGTACTGTTTTTACATCATCAACTCTTTCACCAACCTTGGCCAAGGGTCATCAAATTCATGCTTTAATTAGTTGTGGACAGGGGTGGTGCTAGCCTCTTCCTGGTGGGGGGCAGGGGGCTAAGGTGGGCTACACAGAAAACTGTGGGGGCTGCACTGCAGGCAGGAGTGGGGCGGGCAGCAGTGGACTGGAGGGGAGGGGCAGTGCTGGGAGGGGTGGCTACGGGGAAGCTAAGACAAAAGCTAGACCAAATTTTGGCGTGCTTATAGATCCCCCCCCCCAAGCCCCCCCCCCAGTGCTGCCCCTGGTTGTGGATGGCAAGATTTTATTTCCATTCTATTCTGAAGTGACTATAATTTGAACTAAAACATCAGATCCTCAATTGCAACACAGCTCTGGCAGTCCCTCAGTTAAGTACTGCTGCACTCAAGAAAACCCCCCCAAACAAAACAAAGGAAAAACATCCACTCCTATAAATAAATGTGAAGAAATTTTTACTGTGGAAGTTCACCCAAATCTTTATGCTGGGAAGAAACCATACATGCTAGAAACTGTCTAGGACTCCCAACTACTTACTACTGCAAAAATGTTTGCAGGGATACTTTTGCTCTAACTTTTGTCCTAAGGGAGGCATTTATGACAGAGGAATATTGGAAATCATTTGCAGAAATGCAGAGCTCTAAGACAAGTGTATGTTAATTACCTTAAGTACTGTATCATTTATCCCCAATTCATATCTGCTTAATAAAGCTTCCATCCGACCAAAATTGGGCTTGTCCCATGGATTCTTCAAAGTTGATAACTTTGCCAGTATTTGAAGGAAAACAGTAGCACATTTTTTTCAAGGATGGTTCAACACCAGGATGCCCTTTCAGCCCTTCTCTCCTTATGCCCCTTTCCCCTCACTCGTAAGTTCACTGTATAGTTATAGCAAGACAGATGCAAGAACTCCAGATATTAAAAAACAGGTAAGAAGAACCAAATCAAAGTTCTTATAATATTTCTCTTCTTGTAGCAACTTTCAAATAAGTATTGTAAATGTTTTTATAATAAACACTTATAAAGCCAGAACCACTGCAACAACCTGGCTTGTTAAACAGAAGCTATTTTTTACACTGTTTTATATCACTAGTGACTACTGATACATCGAGCATATGGTACTTTTTATCCTCCTAAGGGCAAAGTGGGGGATTTAGATTAGCAGCATTGCAATAATTCAACCTGCCTTCACCTATTCATACCTCCTCCAAAAATGTATATATAGCACAGTAGCTGCCAAACAGACTATTTTGGCAAAGTATCTATCAGCTGGGATGCCATGGTTTCTTATCTCAACCTATGGCTTCCCAGATTATAGGAGAATCATCTGGGAACATGATTCTCTAAGGGAGTTTTCTTGAAGAGCAGAGAGAGAACTCAAGTTCAGCATGAGCCAACTTGCTGCAACTTCTGTAACACTGCCGCTCCATGTTTTGTTGCCCACCACACCTCAAAAGCAGCAAGTGATCTTGGGGATGGTGGGGAAGCGGGAGGATTAAGACTCCCTCCTTCAACTAAGATCAAGCATATGGGGTCAGTGAAAGAGCATTATAAAGAGGCAAAAGAGGCAGAGTGCTGACAGACCTTTGCCACCATTTGGAGGTGTACTCCATTTTAGACAACTCCCACAGAGACCATTAGGTGGGAGCCAGACCCACTAACTAGGGCAGAGAAAAACTGCAGGTGTCAGAGATTCCTCAGTCTGGTGAGTTACCTCTGATCCATTTTGGTGCTAGACAGAGAAGGAGAAAGCAGGTCTTATGCAGCAGGTTACCCCAGGTGGAGTAGGGGAGACTGGGGCCAGTGCTGGGCTGGCCCCAACAGCCTTACCTGGGGTCCTGGGGGCTTCCAGGGGCTGCAGCAGCAGCAATCCTGCTGCTCAGAGTCTGACTGGCAGCCAGAGCGTGGCTCCAGCTAGCCCAGCTCCGGTTTTGAGTGCTGCCCCCTCATGCACTGCTCCACTTTTTTTGTGTGCACAGATTTTTTGATCCCTGGATATCCAGGGGTCCACCCCCCACCACTACCCTGCATTGCTCCCCTGCAGTGTGGAGAACAGCTTCAACTGTTGGCAATGTTCATTTGGACACAGCTGTAGAGGGTTTTCCTTATGCTGGGATTGTTGATAATGTTTCCTTTTGACAAAAAAAGAGAAAGGTGGGCAACAAACACAAGTTGTTTTCTGTAACAAAGGCAAGGTGAGCAGTTAATCCACTGCAGATAGTCTGCAAAACAGAGCAGAGCAACTGCAGATAGCTGGTGGGTAATCCAAGATAGATCAACAGTCAGTCATTCTCAATGATCTCTCTCAATTCAGAATTTATATCAGACTGGTCTGCAAGACAGACTTAGTGCTGAACAAAATTATTCAAATATGACGACATAATGCAAACAGCACAAGCTGAGCTTGGCCAGAAAGAGTGCCTGGCTCATTATGAGCACTTGTACTGGAAAACAACAGATATCCTGGCAAAAAAACATGATATCTTCTCCCCCTCCATTCTTGTCTCATAGACAGTGACCTCTCAATTAGCTGCATCTGGTGATTTTAAATCTGCATCCATGTTTCTAGAAATTATTAGACAGATGTGTAGGTAAAGGCTGGTCACATGATAGGCTCCATGGCTTTCTTTTAGCAATTTGAGGCTATCACCCTTTTGAGTTGTACCAAATGTAGCTGATTCAGCATTTATCTAAGCAACAGAGATAATAAGTTTATGATCATTTTGCTGAAGAAATCTAGCTTGGTTAAGTATCAGACTTTTGATTACACAATCAAATTGATCCTTGCACAAAGCCAAAAAGACTCCCTGTGCATGGGGTAATTCTTAGTCCACTTTCACAATTTTTATATGTTGAGATATGCTTCTTTCTAGAGGGTTCAATTTTTTATATATCATTTTGACAAAATAAGGCCTAAGGAACGTTCAAATTCCTATATAACTTTGAATTATTTGATATCTGTTCAGAGGAGTGAAAATATCTTCTGGAGTGTACTGTCTGCATGGTTCTCTGTTTATTGGCCATTGTGCATTGGGTGTTTGTGAGGCTTTGGGAAGCATGGGATACGAAGAGGCTCAGGGTAGGGTAAAACAAGAATATATCATGTCATCACGTCCTTATAAGAAAGAATTTGGAACTATGGTAGCTATTTTTGCAACACTTCAATAGTATATCTGCATGAAACATTGCCTAGATCTCCAGTAGTGTTCAGATTCGACAGACTCAGTGGCTTGGGCTTTAGAGGTAAATGTTTGCAATTTATACAATATCCTATTTCCTATCTTATCCAATAAGAGCTGCAGTTTGTTGCATGCAGATTTCTCAAAACACATTATCAAGAGGACATTACTTGTGTTCCAGGAAAAAGTAATTTAACAAATCCCCAAGGATAGTATCTCTATTACATAAAATGGATGCACTTAAGTGTTCCTGAAAAAGACAGGCAAGCTCAAATAGCACCACTTCAAACTGCAAAGTAATAACCATCTGCCTACTTAATATTTTCAGCAAACTAGCTTTTCTTTCTGCAAAAATTAGATCCCATTTAATCAAACCTGAACAGGGAACTGTTTTTAGATTTTGTAGAAAATGATCGCAGATAGAAAACTTGTTGGGGGGAGGGGGCAGGGGGGCTGGTTGTTGTTTGGTTTTTGACACAATTATAAATAGAACAATAAGGGACCAAAAAAGTTGTTAAGATGGGCTATTTACCTGACAAACAAGTATGTAAAGGGTAGTCTATCAAACTGTTTCTCTCTCCCTCCCCCTTCACCCCAAATAGCTATTGACATACCGTGCTCATATAGCCAAAATGAACTTTTAGTGCTCACCAGATATATTTAAAATCATCATCACTGGTCTAATAAATTGCTTATGGATGTTTCACTTCACACCCAGATCTTATTTAATAAACCCAAGTAAAACAGAGATTTTGTTAACAAATATAACACACTGGTGTCACTAAACCTGCTGACAAGACTATCATTCTATATGACACGCAAGAGAATAAAATCTTCAACTGCACTGATATACTTGACTACAGATACAGTCCTGCAGATAAGGAGTTCAGGCCACAGGAAAGTGCATATTAGTTTATTGCAAATATGCCCAGTATAAGCCAAGCTACAAGCATATAAAAGGAGCAAGAAAAGAGGAAAGGTTTATTTTGTTTCTGTCAAAGAAAATACTCAAGAGCAGAAAAGTAGCACAAAGGAAATACCTTAAGATCTCGCCTTTCCAGGTGTAAAAGCTCAGAGCCTCGGATGTCATGGCTGATGAAGATTTCTTTGTACTCTCCCAAACTGAGCAGATCCAGCCAAGCAGCAACTTCATCTGTGCCCCATTTTTGAACTACCAAAGTTAAGAGCAAAACCCCCTTAATTTCTACATGCTCAAATGCATTACAAGCAAAGGTTAGGCCAAAGAGAGTGGAAGACAGAGTAGAACTGCCGTGCCAGCAAAAGGAAAGGTTAAAGGTGGTGTTTCCACAAAAACAGAGGGTTTCCATTTTACATGCAGGTTACAACTTAGCAATAAATGTGAGAAGGTATCTATGCAAAGTTGGGGATCTTTGCTTTGCAGCCGTGCTTTCAGCTTTACTCCAGTTTCCTCAATAAAGCTATCAAAATTAATATACTTCAACAGATGCACTTTTAACCATGTGAGGATCAGCAATACTAGGTCTAAGTTTGTTCTGCTGTTACTAACAGCAATTTATCAGGTGTAGGCAGGAAAAAACCCTTCCCATTCTAACTAGAATATAAAAATCAGCATATAAAATGTATATCTCAATAATAACTACTGCACCATGCAAATCTAATCTTAGAAATGTCTCTAGTTAATACATAATTAACACAACAAACATTATGTTAGCCAAAACAGTTACACAGGTCATTAATAAGCTCTCTGTAAAACATTGTTCTCTAAGGTTAGTTGCCCACATTAATTTTAATAGACCACATTTATAGGAGGGAAATTAGGCTATATTATTATTATTTCTTTAACACTGTGTATTCTTCTAATTCTGCTAATTAGCTTCAGACTGAGGTATTCTAATGTGACACGATTTAAGTTTTAAAACATCGATGAGCTGAGAAGTTAAATTCAAATTTGCAAGCTTCATCTTGCTATACTATCCAAACACGTTGCTGGATCAGAGATATGGATCCAGTCAGTTTTAGAACTACCATTCAGCCACTTATCTTTCAGGGCATAATGCTAAGGCTGTATGTTCATAGATGCAATGAGGAGAGAGGAGCTTGTTCAACTTCTACTGTCTAAGAGAACAGGACCGGCTATCACAGAGTTATGCTTGAGGTGCATAATTAGCTGATGTGAAAACAAAGCTAGAATATTAAGGGATAACTGAATTAATTAAATAGGGTAATAAAAGCTACTGTGTAGCCAGTGAAACTAAGTCAGGGCTTGGTGAGGAAACAGAACTTGTATGGGTCTTTGTGTTGCTAAGGGTTTGCTAAATATACAGACAAATGCATAGGGACTCTAAACCAAAAAAGCAGACAGAAATAACAATAGCTAGTTTTGGGGTTGTTTTTTTTAAATTATTATTATTCATGTAACAGTTCAGGTTGGGGGAAGGAGCGGGGGGAATCCTGATTCAGACCTGAAAAATGTATTGAGTGAACAGGTGAACTCCTATTCACCTGCATTCACCTAGACGGGGCCAGGTATAATGCATTATTTCAGCTTTTTATGAAAGATGCTTGTCCCCAGAAGTTATTTGTCTTTCAATGTCAAAACACATACCAGGCTGAGAGCTGGTCTTATGCTTTTGGACCTTTTCCTTTTTAAACTTTGGCACTATGCGAAATACTGTACTTCTGTTGTTTCTTTTAGCATAATCCAGAGGGGGATCCTGAATAAAAGAAAAGAAATAACTACCTTTAAGTAAAAAAACAACAAAAGTTCAATTACATATTTGAAAAGGTAAATTACATTTATAATTACTCTCAAAATCTGGTCCAAAATCTAATTTAGTACAGAATTGTGTCCGGCTCCATCAAAACATATGGGATACCTGAAGGCTTCTTCTATTAAATAACTGCTGACACTTTAATTTCTTACATAAGAAAAAAGGAAAACTGGAAAAAATATTAATCTGACCCACCTCATCGTCATTTGATTGGAAAACATAATAAAGCCATGGAATCTCAGGGAGTTTTCTTAACTCAATCTCTACACTGTGCAAAGCATCAGATAGCAGTTCTTCATGGTAGGATTCCAATTGCTGTTTTTGAAGCAGCCAGGGGAAAAAAAAATACAATTTATTAGCTTTGTTAATGCAAGAAATGTTAACTACTTTATAAACTATACACTGCTGCCTAATACCAAACATAAAGTAACAGGGAATTTCATACCAAACTTAACTTCCATGGCAAACATATCTAATTGTCCTAGGCCTTTGTACACGCAACAAAATTGGCCTTTTAAGCAGTTTACAATTGGCCCTTAAAGCAGTTTAAATGACCTTTTGCACCACTTTAATGGCGCTGCTGTTTGCACACTCGGTGGTGTATTCCGCTTTAAATGACTTAGTAACATAGCAAGATCAAACCCCTTGCGAGGTGTTTTAGTCTGCTGCCTAACAAAGTGCAATGGTGGATGGGGCACTAGAAGCCGACATGCTCGGGGAAGCTCGGGCTTGGCGGGCTTCCAGCACCCCAAACACCGTCCCCACCACCTTCTCCCGCCACCAGCACACCCAGCCGCCCTCCTGCTCCACCCCAGGGGCAAACCAGCTGTTCCTGGGCAGTCCCAGGACGCGAGGTGGAAGGGATGGTGCAGGGGTGCTGGAGCTTACCTTTCTCCCCCGTGGCAGGAGGGCAGGGGTGGGGGGGTGGCTGGTGGACAGAGCAGTCCCTGAGGTGTGGGGGACCCGGGTGTTTCCCTCTGCAGCGGCAGCACCCACCAACTGGCACCTGGCCCAGGTGGTCCCGCAGCGTGCCACTGCCATGGAGAGAAGTACCGGGCCTTGTGCAGCTCAGGGGCTGTGAGACCTGGCGGCAGGTGGTGCAGGCAGGCTCGACTGAAGGGGGCGGGGGGAGTGGCGAGAAGCCTGATCTTTTTTTTCCTTCTGGAGCTTGCCTGCCTGCCTGAGCTGCGCTCAGCCCTGCAGTGCCCCCCAGGACCGCCTGGGCCAGGTGCCAGCGGACAGGTGCCACCTGGGGGGCACCACCACCATGGAGGGAAGCACCAGGGTTCCCTGCAGCTCAGGGTCTGCTTGGCCCGCTGGCAGCTTGCCTCCCCCACCATAGGAGAGACAGATAAGCTTTATGGATCAGGCCCCTAACCTTTGTGTATACGCGACAGGGGTTCAGTTTAGTTTAGTTCTCCCTAAATTGAAATGGTGGGTTTCAATTTCAAAAACTCACCATTTCAATTTAGGGAGAACTAAACCGAACTAAATCCCCGTCGCATGAACAAGCACCTAGGAGACTATGTTTGAATAGATCTCAAATGACAGCAGCCTGTCTGACAGCTGAGCCTTATCGTGTGGACACAGCTATCAAATACTAGCATCATTTACCATACTCAACCACTTACAAAGGAACAGTTATCTCGTAACAAGAACACACAACATTAGAGATGTACAAAGAAACTTATAAACTAACTTAGATTTCTCCACATTGATAGATACAAGAGCAAAGAAACTAGATTTATTGTAATAAATTTCCTTAATCTTGTGGCCTTGTACATCTACCTATCCAGAAGCTACAGGTGGGAAGGAAATGAACAAATAGTGCCAAGTGTAGGAACAACAATAAAGTTTGTGCTTTTAAATGTTTGTGTCATAGATTCATAGCTGTATGCACTTAGCTTTACACTATGATGTTAAGTAAAGAGTGAGGGAAGGATTTAATAAACGAGAGTGATCTGGAAAAACCTCAGAGCAAAACGCAGAGTCCAACAAAATTGTAATAGCTTACAATGCGAGTAAACCCAAGTTCCTATTGTGAAAATTTCTTTATGTGATATGCAGCTCTTAACTGGTCAGGAAGGAGCAGTGGATTTGTTAGTATAAGTAGGATTCTCTCTTGCAGGCTCTTCCTAGATTTTATGCAACTTTCTCACTGTTTAAGAGACCAAAAAGGACTAGAAGGTAGAAACCCCCTAATTCAAATTCAAGCTCTGATAGTGAATCACAGTCACTCTGCAATAAACAAAATGAGAAGAGTCATATTCATTTGAGTTAGCAATAATATACTAACAGCAGCATGGAAGTGTCTATGTGTACCGTTTGCTTTTTGCTAGGCAGCAGCTTTATTCTGCTTGGCAGAGTGGGACTAAATCTGCTGATATATTTCTCCCAAAATGACCTGGTTACTTTTTGCCAAAATATGTTCCCTAGCTCCACTAGTGAATTACCTCTGTCAATTAAACCAACTCCGTAGACTGATGGAGAGGAATCATAATTTGAACCATCCTATAGCTCAAAAGCCACAGAACCAACAGACAGGTGCCAATTATAAGGGTCACCAGTGAACAGTGTGGACAGTGAAGGCATCAATTTATGTCTGTCACAGGCTTGTCAGAGAAAGTGAAAGAATTGGAGGGGTGAAAAAAAAAAGTAAAGATGAAAATTAAGAAGGAAAGATCCACTTAAGGATTTGCTTCTTTGTGAGCGGACACACAAACCCGAGGATGGTACAGGATGGCAATGACAAGCAGCTTGAACACCACCAAGTTTCATCCATTTGTATGTCCATGGGTAGGACATAGTTTCAGCATTGGTTAAAGTACCAGACTACAAGTTTTATTTCAGATTCATGAATAAAATTCTAAGATTAATGTTTAATGAGAGTTATGGACATCTTTAATGTCAATATGCAGCATAATACACAAAATACATTGGTATCTAGTAATGACCCTGTTATTAAATACTGGTTTGCATAAATAGTCAAATAGGCCTTAACAAGACACTTATATATATATAAAAAAGAAATACCTCAAAAGAAAAAACGTGCACAAGAGTGGAAGTAAACTAAAACAACTCTTCGGCACATAAGCACTTCAGTAAAATGATTGCCCTTATTGACTGAGAAATGTAGAATTTCATTGAGTCTGATTTCATATTTAATTCATGTCATAGCATCCCCTGATAAGCGATACCACTTAGTATTGCATTTCAATCATCTACTTAAAACTGTTCTGCCAAATCCTGTTCCTGAACAATGTTAAATCAAAATAATATATTTATTCTTATATCTTTTTGTTAATTTGGTGAGTTTTCATATTCTTATGTTTCTTTCCCCTATCTTCATTAAATTAATCTCGGGAGCATTGTCATCTTCTAGAGTTAAATAAATTTGGAAATGTGCCTAACCTCTTAATAGTTCTAGAAGCCAGGAACAAATGCAGAAGGGGTACAGTGGCATGGTCCCACCCCACCACGGAAGCAGCAGCTGGGGACTTTTTTAAGTCCCTGAAACAAGCAAGAATTCCACCCCACCTTCTCCTCCATGCTCAGCAGTATGTCTCTTCCCTTCCAATTCCTCCATCTCTCCTACTGCAATCCCTGGCTAACTGAGGATAAGGGGAGCTCCAGAGTTGCTTCTGCCCCACTCCAGCTGGGCTGCATGGGGAGCACTTGTGCTCTGCAGGGAGTTGGGCTGTGGCTCAGCCAGGGACAGTGGCAGCAGCTTCCTCCCAATCCCTTTGGGTATTTTCTGCATCCAGGAGAGGGCTCAGGGAAAGGGAACCCCACAGCCACCACTGTCCCTAGATGAGCCCAGCTCCCCATGTAGCTGTTCCCCAAAGCCCCAGATGAAGCAAGACAGGAACACCTCTGGAGTTTCCCCTGCCCCTGGGTCAAGTGGGGTCAGCAGCAGCAGTGGACAGGGAAATGGGAAGGAAGCTTAAGTGCTGTTGAACATAGAGGGGATGTGGAGAGCTGGGAGGTCAGCAGGGGAGAGGGAGATTGTTAACTGACTCAGAATCTTAAAAAAAATATCCAACTGCTGCTCCTACAGTGTGGTCTGCCTGCCCTGGTGGTAGAGACAGAATGGGGAGGCTGGGAGCAAGGGTGGAGGCATCCCTGCGCCACTCACTGCTCTTGCATCCGCCTTTGCAAAATCCTGCATCTGCCTATGTTAGAAGCCAACTGCTGATCAGCCTTTAGACAGCAATGACTTTCAGTCACCAAACAAAGTGCATTTGAACTGTTTATTTAGAACAGTATTTTCTGAAAAAGTCTTTATCTTGATTCCCTTCAGACTCCAGTTCTCCTAAAGAAAGCATCCCATTTAGGATGCTTACAGATGTTAAAAAACCCCCACAAAACCCAAACACACAAATGATGCTTTGCCAAAAGGAGCAGCACGTTACTTAGACCCAGGATGTATAGATCGGGCACTTCAGAGTGGCTTTTTGGTGCTTTTATCTAATAGCTGATTCAATTAGCTATTAGATAAAAGAGCCAACCGCCCCGCCACCCCCACCCCGCCCCCAACTAAAGCTCCCAATCTATCCAGACACTGGGCAAGCTGGATCCAACTAATACAATGCCTCTTCTGGGCATGCACTGCGCTCAGCACAGGAGTGCAATGAGTTTAAAGTGCCATTTTTTTTTAACATTTGTAAGCAGTCTTAGTAACTACTATACAGTTTGGATAATATATTTTCTCCTGCATCCAAAAACTCAAAGCATCAATCAGATGCAACTATTCCTATAAAGTGCCTTTTTAATGTCAATTGAGAGAAAAGAGGAACTCAATCTCTTTCTTTGTCTTATCAAAGCTAACAATTTTCTAATTGCGTTTCCAAAGGCCAATGCAGTATATTACATAACTTCACTATTTTTAGATCCATGATAAATGGTAAAAGAAGGAGGTCCCATAAGTTTTATTACTAAAGCTATACTGGATATTTACTAGACAATGCTTGGAAAAAGCAACTTCTTCATCCCATGCTACTGGTGAATGGAATAAGAGATGAAGCACAGGATTTTACACAAGATATTAATGAGTAAAAAAATTAAGTATTTATTTTATCTCCTTACCAAAGGAACCCTTCCTACTAGTAAAGATTCCGTTTCATTATGTAGTGCCTTCACATTGACAGCTATTTCAGTGGCAGTGTTTCTGGTAAGACTCTGGGAAATAGAAGCACAATAGTCAACTGAATGGCTGTATAGTAAACTTATAAGTACTCATGCTCAGTTTATGGTCTCAGACTTAACCAGATTCTCCAAAGCATGCCAAGTCAATTTCTCACTTCTGCATTGAGAACTAGACATCTAGATGACTCACTTTGAAGTTTTGGGAGTTTCACGCGTTTGCCTGAAGGCAAATAGGTCTGATCACTTTTTGTTTCAGCATTCAGAATAGACAGCAGAAAATGTACTGTATTTGTTGCTTAGTTTTCACTCTACAGACTTACTGAGTTCTTACACATGCCTAAGGATCTCACAGTCATCCAACTGTAAAAACAACGTATGGTCACCATGGCTGGCTCAGGACAACAGAGAAATTCAAGGTCTTTTCTAATGAAAACTGTTAATTAGGATGATTCACATGACACATGAACTGGTCAGCTACAATTAAACACACACTGATTAGTTGGCCCAGTTATCAGGATGATGAGCAGGGATCCTGGTTTTCTCCAATTTAAAAAAATCCCAAATTTTCAGTTACAAAAAAGTTAAACTCCAAATCCACATTTTTCCATGATTAAAATGAAACACCACTACATATATCAGTGGTCTCCAACCTTTTTGGGTAGGACATCACTTTTTGAATTAAAAAGCAACCCAAGATCTACCCTGCACCCCCGCCCCACCCTGCAAGTCAATCTGTGGGGAGGGAAGGGGGGGCGGGGCTGATCAAGGCAGAGGGAGAAAAAAATATTTGGGGGCACATCACCCCCAAAGGAAGTACGTTTGTGGGGGAAGGCAAAGGGCTGTGGGGGAGGTGGCTGAAAGCTCCCAGCAGTGAGGGAGGGAGTTGGGCACAAGCAGGAGCAGGGGCTGCAGGGAATGGGCCTGGCCAGGCTGGATGGTGGGATAAGCAGAGGCCTGGAGGGTCCCCAGGCCTCCGCTTGCCTCCCACTACCCCCAGCCCCTGCACAGCTGAAGAGCCTGGCACCACCCTGGCCCCAGCCAGCTCGCCCCATGTGCAGATCCAGGGGCACGTGCCCCCCATGCCCTTCCAGGCTGCGTGCTCACCCCTCCCTTCATCTCCGGTATGAGCCGCTTGCAGGGCTGGCCCCTGCTCCACTCGTCCCACTCACCTCTGCACGCAGCCCTCCCCACCACTGCTGCTGCCGCCAGAAGCCCGCAGCCGAGCTGCCTTGTGGCCCTACTGCTGTCTCACATGTGCAGGGGGCTAAGGCCCCCCACTTCTATCACCAATGCCCCCATACCCCCTGCCACCGGGTGAGTGGGACCCTGGTGAGGGTCAGAGACTATGCAGCTTGTCCAGGCACGCAGGGGGGCTCCTGCCACTGCAAACACCATGGCAGATGCTCAGGGGCTCATGTCCCCCCAATCTGTACACAGGGCTCGGGGTACAAAGCCCAGCATGCAGCGGCAGCTGCCTCTGCCCCACACAGATCGGGAGGGCACATGACCCCCAGGCCTCCACCAGGGTACGTGCTGCACGGACTCCCCCCTGTGCGCCTAGACCTGCTGCCCAGGCTCTGACCCTCCCCGGGTCCAGCCAGGGCCCTCATTCACCCCTGCCCCACTCCCTCCCTCACCACAGGACAGCAGGGTGTGGAAGGGGAATCGCCCCACTCACCAGGCCCAGCCCCGGTGGCAGGGGGCACGGCTCAGTCTAGCCATGTGCATCCCGCTGCCATTCCACTGCTCCCAGACTGTGCCCTGCCGCTCCCAATTGCAGAGCCTCTGACAGTCAATCTCAGACTACAATCAACTGTCAGAGGCTCCACAATCAACTAGTCCAGGGGCAGGAAACGTTTTTTGGCCAGAGTGCCAAAAGAACAACAACGTCTACCTTAAAAGGTGCCAGAGTGCTGACATGCCAGAGTCCGGAGCAGCTGTTTGCAGCCTCCCGGCTGCACCCAGCCCACGGAGCCTGGTCTGCTTGCAGCAGGGCTTGCAGTCTCCCAGGCACATGCTGGGAGCAGCCTGGGCTCTGTGGGTGGCAGCAGCAGCTTAGAGCTTGGGCTGGTGGTAGTGTGCCGAGCAAAATGGCCTCGCGTGCCATGCTCGGCATGCGTGCTGGGGGTTGCTGACCCCTGGACTAGTCAATTGGGATCCACTGGTTGGTGACCACTTATATCTATATATAGATATATATCTATACATACACGCATATATATCTATTAGTAGCATTTAAATCATGGAAAAATGTGGATTTGGGGTTTTTTTTGTTTTTTTAACTGAAAATTGCGGATTTTTTTAAAACAGAGAAAACCAGGTTCCCTGATGTGTGCTTTGGTAGACTATATTAGTAAATAAGCAAACTCTTGCTCTTGAAACTACCCCCCGCACAAACTAAAATTATGATGCGAGACGCAGGGACCCTGCTTCACCTCCTTCCAAAATTCCCCCAGCAGTGCCACATCTCAATATTCACACCGTTGGAGCAGGTGTGTCCATATGAATCGGCCCAGATGCTTCTACTTGTTATTCTCTCTCTTCCAGCACTGTTATAATTTTTCTCTCCCCCAAGTTCCATGTCTTCCTTTGCCCTGTTTAACCCCACTTAACAATTTCAATGTCTCCATTACGTTTTACCCTCCAGATTAGGTTGTTTCCGCAAGAGTCTGTCCACCAGTACCTTCTTCCTCCCCACTGGAAAGGATGGGGTTACATGTTCTAGGGAAGGGGAAGATGAAGAATGTTTTCTGCCACTTCCACTGTGTTCCAGAATGCAGGGGTGTGCTCTTTGTCCTCTTTCCTATGAATGCAACTAGCAGGAAGGAAGCTGCACTCTCTCTCTCTCTGCATGTATGTTTGAAAGATCAGGGGGGCCTTGGATATCAACAACCTCATTAGCCACTGGAATATACTGTTCAGAATACAGAACTGCTTAAGGTCTCCAGAAATATTCCTTCATACAGAGGGTGCATTTTAAAACAAATTTCAATTGTTTCTTTACCTCAGGAAACCTTGGATTGGCTTTATTTAATGCATGGGAACATGCATTGACAGCATGAGCAAGCTCTTGTTCCAGCAGGCTGTGCGTTTTTGCTGCTTCACAGATCCTATAAAAATAGTAAAAACAGGAAAAAAGTGCTTTGTCAGTTTCTTTTAAGAACCAGTTAAAAACTGAGCTATGTTAGGTGACACTGGCAGATGGGAAAAATCATTTAATAGAGTTTTAACATTAACTGTATTAGAGTCCTAAATATATTACCATAGAGCTAAAGGTTAAATAAAATATCACTTTTTAGTTGTGTCACCTAAATGGCATTCATAATACAAAAGATCTGTTCTGATACAGGAGGTTCAGGAACATTTATTAAATTAACTGAAATATCTTCCTGCCACCAGTGATTGAGATAGCCATTCAGATCACAGATTCATAGAAAGTTAGGTTTTAAAGGGACCTCTAGCCTATGGACAGACATTACACACAAATCAGTTTAAGTGATCAGAAACTGGTTTAAATCTATAACAGAACAGGTGTTCAGTGCACATAAACCAGTTTGAAAATGGCTGAAACCAATGTGAGATAAGTCTGATACTACATTTAACCAGGTTTAACTGATTTGGGTCAAACCGGTTTATATAATGTCTGTCCCAGACCCCTTGCTGATTTAAATTAAATCAGACTCCCCCAGCATGCTCTCTGGGCTGGGTGGGGCTCTCTGCTCCACAGCAGGGCTGGTCTCTCCCCTCTGCTCCCTGGCTGCAGCTCTGGCAGAGACTTGCAGGCACAGCAAGTCTACCTGGTTTCCTCCTGCTTTCCCCCACCCCTCCCCATTCCCTGCTAAGTAGGGATCCCCCATCCCCTCTGTCCCGAGCTCCGAGGGCATCTGCTCCAACCCCCTTCTCAAAACAGGACCATCCCCAACTACATCATCCCTGCCAAATCATCCCCAGCTAGATAATCCTAGACAACTAGATCATCCCAGATCATTCATATAGAAAATACTGTCATTATTGAGAACATTATTATACTGGGTTCTTATGAGAAGTGTTATAGGCTGCAAGTGAAACTAAACAGGAAGAGAACAAATCTCTAAGATGCAGCACTTTGACCACTTGTGACTATTAAAGATTCAATGGAATTTTCATTTTAAATACATTTTTTACAACAATAAAGGTGTTAGGCATGGTCCTAGCTAACCTGCAGTTTGGACAATTAAAATATAATTCCTGCTTTATGCTATCTAAACTTGCTCTGCAGTTAAGCTCAATATGCTGCTCTTAAGCTCCTGAGTAAATACTTGTGCTATTAAAGAAATGTTCTAGCAGTGACTCGATTGCCATGTCATGGCCGACATGATTTCTGTATTACAGTTTCTGGGACAGGGAGAACCACAGTTGATTCCAGTGTAAACTGATACTTTCCCTATTTAACTGGTATTTTGGTTGTAGACGTGTTGGTCTAAGGACATAGGCAGGCATGGTTCTTTGAGTGGATGTGATATCTTTTATTCCAACTGATCAGTTGGAAAAAAGTTCTTAGCAAGCTTTTGGGCTCAGTCACCCTTCTTCAGGCATTGGGAGCCTGAGGAACAGTGGCTGCGCCTGAAAGCTTGCTAAGAACTTGTTTAAACTACTCAGCTGGTCTAATAAAAGATATCACATCCACTCGAAGAACCTTCCTATTTAACAGCTGTCTCTAAATAACTGTATTCAAGGTAAAAAATTCCATATTATTGTCTGTCCAAAGGTGAGCATTTTAAAAAATTTATACAAAACTGGCTCTTTCATTTTTCCCCAACTTGAAGCAGAATTTCAGTTTGAGACCAGACTGATAGGACCCCTCTTCCCTGCTCCCCCCTCCCCCACACAGTTCTTATACGTTGGGACTGAAGTGCTGCACTCACACAACGCAGACAGATAGGGCTAAAACACAGTTATAAGTGAGGCAGAAAAAGCAGTTCCCATTTGAAGACACTGACTAAGAAATTACGAAGGTTAAGCGCATGAGTTGGCACACACTATTTGTTTAAAAGTTAAGACTGCTAAAAGCCTAAACAGTTTAGTCTTTGGAAACACCTTAGAATTAAAGTGTCCTTAAACTGCTTTAGACCACTTGACTCAAGCCTAGAAGGGAACTTAGGGGAGCAGACAGGACACTGGATCTAAGAGGCAGAAGGGCGAGGAACCTATTTTCAATGTGTGCCTACGTGCAAGTCTGCTGCTCTATAAAATACAAAGAAAATGCTTTATAAAAAAGGTAACGAGCACTGAGAACTCCTATATAATCACTAAATATTTCTAACAAGTTATTTAGTGCTTCTCCATTCTTCTTCTACTTTTAAATGAAAAACATCATTAAAAGTAGCTTTTGTGGTTCATGGCTACATTCCCGCCTAGTCTTCTAGCATTCCTATTTTCTTCATACCTGAGACATTTCTGACCATCTTTCATTCCTCACACCACTTTTTAACTTCCTTTTTTTTTTTTTTTTTTTTTTACCTGAGGAAGGATGTGTGCTTTTCTGAAAGCTTGAAAAGAACAATTTTTTTTTGCAACTGTTTAGTTGACCTGATAAAAAATATCATCTCTACGCAAAGAATTTGCCTATTTTTACTGCAGAATTTGAACCACTTCTCTAAGCAACACTCCAATGCCTAACGCAGGGAGACAAGTGTGGAGCCAGTATTTTCACATCTTCTGCAAAGGAAGAGAAAAAAGAAGGAGCACAGAGGTAACAGTGAAGCTGCAGGAACACTGACTGGCATGTGCCTCTGGTGCATTTCGTTAGGAACAAGGTGTAGCCACAGAGACCATCCGTAAGAGATGGAGAAATTACAGATCTGAATGTTCTCTCCATTGTACTGGATACTAGTTCTTCTTTACCAATGACAGTGCAGAAGGGGTGGTGACAATGCTGGAACAGTGAAAGGAGTCAGGAAAATAAGTAAAAATGAGGCTACATAGATAGCACTTCAGAAGCTGGATAGGAGAGGAGAGGAAAGGGAATCCTTTGATCTCCTAACCCTCCACTAATATCCAGAGAAAAAATCCTCACCTAAATACACACTGCATCTGTCACTTCAGCCACAAAATGTTCTCTTCAGCATCACTGCTTAGAGTGCACTTGCAACAAAGATTAAGGGCTTTATACCCACTGCTTTCTGTTATTTGAAGCAGCCAATAAACTGACTGTATAAATGAGCAACTGGCATTAGTTTCTGTATGTAGGAAGCAAATGCTATTTTTAACAAAAACAATAAATGTCTGCGGCTTTGAAAAGTGCACTACCTCAATTTTAAAGAGGGCTTCCCCCCCGGTCAAGGGGACTATAATGCCAAAATTAAGAGAGATTTGGGGTAGTTTTTTAATGTTTTCATGTAAAAAATACACAATTCTCTGAAAAAGTGGGGAGTGTCTATAAAAACGGAGCTCTCCTTTTGTTTAAAAAAACCCAAAAACATGCATTTTAGGGAGAAAATAGTTTCTGAAATGTAATAGCAATATGGAATTAATTTTGTAAATCCTGTTTGCCATCGCCTGCTCAGGACATAGAAAACATTGAGTCTAAATTCCAGTGGGAAATGATCACTCTACTAAATTAACGAGAGCCCTATGCATTCCTTGTGTGCCTGATACTTCGGTATCATGTGCCTGAGCTAAGCCATGTCACAGCAAGATTAATGCCAAATGAGTCAACTGACATAGATTCTTCTGACATACAGAGGAATTGGTTTTGAAAAGGCTCTCATTTGAAAAGGCAAAAGAATTTGATGCGACTATTTGAACTCCCTCACAAAAAGAAACAAAAAGGAATGAGGTTGTGTTTAATTATAAATTAGGTATGGAAACATGCTTGATCTAAAATTTAAAATTTCAAAGTACTTTTTCAGTATTTGGCTGAATACAATAGTTTCATATGAATAATGTTTTCAAAAACATCTCTAATGTCAAATGCAGCACAGATTTCTCTACTTCATAGGAAAAACATTCTGACTTGTAATTGCTTTGAAACTTTGAGATGATTTGGAACTGATAAAGGAGCAGCAAAGTCTTGCTGAAATGACAGAGCATTAGAACGACTAAAACATCTTAAATAAAAAGCTTCAGCAAGGTTAACCACACAGAGGAAAATATAGGGAAAAAGCCAGTCAAAAGAAAATTTCAATGGAATGAGAGAGCTTAAAGAGTCCAGAGGCCAGAAGGATTTCAGAGATAAGAGTGGAACAAATTTTCACATATGAAAAAAAATTAGTAAGAAAGGTTTACCAAGTAGTGTAAGTGGCTTGAATATTACTGATGCAAATATTCAACTGTTTGCTAGTTTAAGGTTTTAAGAAAGTATTTATATTTGAAAATGAAAATGGTTCAAAAAAGCAGAAAAAGAACTGTCTGTTTTTAACATTAAAGTTCAGTGGCTCGAGGCATAGGCCAACATTGTGTTGTGCGGGCAGTGACAAGGAACAGAGAAAAGAAAAGACTTTGGTATGTGGGACAGTGATGGAGTGGAAAATATTGCATATGCCTAGGGAAAAAAAATACTAAGCATTAAAACACTTGATTTCTAGTCTTATGGAACCACAGCATAACAGACAATATAAACCATTACATTTTATGCATAGAAATGTTATGGTTGACCCAGGATCAAACGTTTTGCTTCCCAAGGCTCCGACAGGGATAAGCTAAGAGCAATTTCCACAGTTAAGGAGAGAAGGAGAAAACTTTGTTTAAGTGGAAAGGAAAAATCTTTTCTAAGGATAGTTGATTTGTTTTAAATGGCAACTGTATGAAGGCATTAGAACAAGTCCTGGGAAGAATGGCTGAGTAGGCAAGTGAGGAAGGTTGCAATTTACAGTAAATTTATGGAGCAGTTTATTCCACATATGTTACCTTCTTATATCATGGATCACGGTTTCTTTTTCTACACGTCTAATCTATCCACTTTACAAGTCTTTTAGAAAAAATTAATATGCAAACGCAAGATTCTGATGACCTCCAAATCAAGAACAACAGTATCTTTTTTATTTGTTGTTAATAGGACAGCCTGAGAATCAGTTCTACGCATCAGAACTATGGAGCCAAGTATAACATGAGTAGAAGAATTTCTGTTACTTGGACGTGCAACTTTTCCATGATGTGCTTTCTCTCTCAGCTACTAATTTCTCCCCTCATTTTCACTGTGCTTACAGCAAAACTAAACTATTTTAGAACTGTATAATGCAGGGGTGGGCAATTATTTTGGCTGGAGAGCCTCTTAATGAGTTTTGATGAGCTGTCAAGGGCAGCCCCACCTGTGGCCAACCTGGCTTTGTCATGTGGGGCTCCCCATGTCTCACATGTAGCTCTTGGGAGCCAGTCAGAGCCACGCACTGAGGTGATGGTGCCAGTTGCCCAGCCCCACTTTCTACCAATGTGTGCAACTCCCTGGACTCCACCAGGAAGCAGGAAATGGAACTGGCCTGGCCTCATCGTGCAAGGCTCCCCACTTCCAGTGAAGATCCAGGAGCTGCACCTGGTGGCAGGGAATGGGGAAGGCCACTGGCTGCAGTGTGTGGGGCTTCCCCCCAGTGGCGCATGAGTCCCAGGACTGGCACATGAGCCAAGGGGAGCTCTGCGTTATAAAACTGGGCCGACCCGAGCTCTGCCCTCCTGCCCAGCTGCCACTTACCCCCGACCTGCTGCTGCTTCCCTACATGCCGCCTGGAGTGCTGCAACAGGGACGTAAGGAGGTGCTGATGGAAGCTGGGGGAGTTGAGCAGTTCCCCAGGGGGCTGCAACAGCAGCAGCCGCCCTGCCTGGAAGCTGTGCGCTAGCTGGGGCTGAGGCCCTCTTGCACACAAGGATAGGAGCACAGTGCACTGCCCCAGTGGGAGTGGGCACGGCTTGGCCCCGAGCGGAAGGCAGCAGGGACAGCCACAAGTTGGGCCAGAAATGATTCACTGGTGGCCACCCACCCATGGGCTGGATAAAAATCGCCTGGTGGGCCAGATCTGGACCACAGGCTGTATTTTGCATGCCCGTTATAAAGTACATCTGTATTATATTATTTTTCCACAGACTAAGTATTCTAAACAGGAACATCCCTATTAATCTTTACATTAATAGGGATACATTAATCTATACATTAAATGCAAGTACCTGCAAATAGCTTTAATATACAACTCCAATAGTTATGGTCCAATCTAGGCCAAACAAAGAAAACAGATTATGAATTTCACTATATTATTAAAAGAGAACTTATATAGCTAAACCTGACGTGAAATTCAGAAAAATAAGATAGTTGGCATACTTTGTTACATTATATAATAGTTACAAATTTTATGTCCAAAGTATTTTTCATTAGAAATGTTAATTGTTGTCTAAGTGCAGGAAACAGGGCATTGTTATCATAGAGGTGATCTGATATATGGATCAGCACTGATAAAAGGAAAATTAACATTATTGGCAATTGGCCACTGTAGCCAATAATGTCACAGATAAATACTGTGTGCATGCACGCAGCCAGGAATGTAGCCCGGGAGCTTGGTGAGCAGTGTCCAGCCAATAAGTCTGTGGGGGGGGGAGGGGCACGAGGGAGGGAAGGGGAGTGGCGGGGCAGGCAGATTGAGACCCAACAGTGAGGGAGAGTGGGGTAGGAACAGGCCCTCCCTAGCCAGGGTTGTGATGACCCTGGGGCCGGAACCATGGGCAACTCGTCTGGGGTGGTGAAGAGAGTGGGGGGCAGCTCCCTGCTACACGCAACCCCAGGGGAGGCATGGGGGGCATGCACACCCCCTCCCAGATCTGTGCACAGGGCAAGGGCAGGCTGCCCACTGTGGGTTTGGGGCCAGGGCCTACGCCAGCCTCTTCCCATCAAGGGGGCTAGGCTGGGGGTGCTCTTGGGGTGAGCAATGGTGATCCTGAGAGGGATAGCTACGGGGTATTTTGGGGTGGCTATAACCCACCCCGTAGCCACCCCTTCCAGCACCACCGCCACCACCCACCCCAAACACAGCCTCAACCCAGCCCCTGCCAGGAGGTGGCTGGCACAGTCATGGCCCCAAGCCTGCAGTGGGCAGCTTACCTTCGCCCTTTGTACATGCCCCGCATGTTTTCCCCAGGGGTGCTGGAAATTTTTATCGGTGCATCCCTAGTTACCAAAATCTTTTATAGGTAAATCTTTGTTCTCAGATGAAAAAAAAAAAAAAAAAAAAAAAACTTTCCCTCTGTCAAAGAAAAAAAAAAAAAAAAACTTTCCCTCTGTCAAAACAAAGTTTTCTGCAGGAAGGAAAAAAAAAATCTAACCAACACACAGTAAAAATGACTTTTCATTCCATCCAGGAAGAGCACACACCAACTGCTGAAACTTCCTTAGCCTGATGAAGGGTTTTTGAACCCGAAAGCTTGCTTAATAACTATTCTCCAACTATTTGGGTTGGTCTAATAAAAGATATCAGATTCACCCAAGGAACCTTGTCAATATAACTTAGATCTTTCACAACCCAAAACATGGACAATGAAGTGTCACATCTTTAGCCAAATTAGTTGAGCTCATCTTATATGGAACATGCTAACTTCTATAAATAACTGCACTTCGATAGAATAGCTATTAAACCATTAAACCCATATATTTTACTGTACCTGGTAATAAGTTCTTCTGCAGCTTGTGAACACAGCTGGATCTGACCAACTTCTTCTTCTGTAGCCAAGTCAATGGCCTGTTGAGGGTACAGCTGAGACCGCAGGACAGGCTTGCAGGAATCACACTTCTGCTTATCTTCCCAAGACTTCAGAGTGCTTTCAAAAGCCTGATTAAAATGGAATTAAACATTCAACTGATAAGACTTACATTTCTTTTATTTAAATTTACTGACTTACCCATCATTCTACATAAAAATTATAAGCATGATACAATACAAAAATAGCATTTAAAATTAGGCTTTAAAACCAATTTTTTTTAAAAATGTGTCTTTATGGATAACCTTTTCCCCTGTCCTCAGTTAAATGGGCTGCTTAAAATGCATTCAATATGCATTTCACTGGGGATATAGAACTTTGCCAGGATAAGACAATCTGAATGCAAGTCATGCAGGAAAACAAGGAGAAAAAAAATCTACCAAATTTACTAGACAAATTACTGTAGCTATTAGTCAGGGAAGATCCTGTCTTGAGTGTACTAGAGCAGATGACCTCATGTGGTCCCTTTAACCCTACACTTTTGTGCGATTATATGATGCAGAGAAAGGACTGTGTTCAGCATCCATTCATATGAACAAACAGAGGGGAACTCAGGAGGAATGTGAGAGGTTTTATGCTTTTAATTCTAGATGACTAAAACAGCACATACTCCTACAGTGACTGACTTTTTAAAAATGGATTCTAGCATTGTTTGATAAGGTATAGAATGTTGTAGGATGAAATCTGCAATGGCAATCATTAATGAAAGAGAGACATTTTACATTTTATTACATATATAATAGCTCCTAAAACTTCCAGTACTTTGAATGATAAAGTACAAAGTTAGTGGCTGAAAGAGAAGCCACGTTATAGTGACTAATACTCCTTACAGTTACACAACTACATATACAACTATAGATAAGGTTGGATAAATACAATCTTTTCTCATAGACATTTGACCATTTTAACTTATCAAAAAAAAAGAAAGAAAGAAATACAGTATATGCTTACTGGTGACAAAGCTCTGAGCGACTTGTGTAAAAGAACATATTCGTACCAAACTAATTATTTTATAAGCTGTTTTTGCCAGGTATAATGTTATGAGAACGTCACTAACAAAGGATTTTATACAAAAGATAATAAAATGCATTCTCTGACATACTCTGTCTCGTGTTAGCATCTGAGCTCTGTTTTTATGTACAATTTTAATAACCCCAGGGGGCTGAATCCAAGCCTCTCCATCTACTTGCACTGGGACCCCTTCATCTCCAAGGATGGTGATCTTTACTGACCGACACTGAAAAAGAATAAGTATGTTATTTTACTGCATAATATATCACTGAAAACCTGCAATCCACCTGTCGTATATAGACTAGTAGGAGCTGTGGCTTCTATCCCATTTATCTCAAGGATGAAGCACTGTTCTACTACATTCATTTATGACTAATTATTAGTAAAAAATTAAAAACAGCATTAATATTATATAATGTATAATATAGCAGTTGGCCAGACTACTAGTTTTCGCCACAGCAGTTCAGACTACTCATTATCTTACTTGTTTTTCAAATAAGAAACATACCTGCAGAACTGGCCATAGGTAAAATGGTGTCCTGGGCGAACCTGTATTTTGGCCCTCCCCATCAGCAGCACTGCTGCAGGCACAGCCAGGCAGGCAGTGGTGTGGGGTGCACCCTGCCAGCAATGAGGTGAAGTGACATGGTGCTGCTGCCCACAATCCCTGGTGGGGTTGTGTGGGCCACCACTTCCCCTGCCTGCGGTGTGGGTAGAGCTCCACTATGAGAGTAGCCTGCTCACACGTGTGTGTTGTGTACATGTGTGCGCGTGTGGTGTCCCCTGACCACAGTGCCCTGGGCAGTCAGCCACATCACCCACACCTAAGGCTGGTTCTGCATACCTGAGCTATTCTGTGGTGTTGCAATTTGATGACTCTTGACACTGCCATCTGCATGCTGCCAAACACTGCAACAACTTCTAAAATTTTGTCATCAAATGATGGTGCTCCAAATATCTGGGAACAAAAGAAAAATAAGACTATACAGAGCAATATTCATATATATATATATATATATATACACACACACACACACACACGAGCAAGTTTAAAAGAGCAGGGATCATATCTTCTTTCATCTCTAGCTCAGCTCTGGGCTCACAAAAACTTATTACAAATAAAATTCTAGATTCAGATGTATACAAATTACAGGCTTACTTAAGTGTCACAGAAGTGAGACACTATGAATGTAGCGAAGTCTCATCTTAAAGGTGATGATACTAAATATAATATTTGGAGTGTGTCAGAAAACCTTTTGGTACAGAGTGTAAAGCCAACCAGAAATGGGAAGCTCCTCTTCCTACACAGCTCACAGGTTGGTTGACAAGAGGAATTTGTTGAGAATATGAAGGTGGGAGGCAATTCTGGTGACAGCAAGCATTAAATGAGAGTTCAGGATCTTAAAGAAAAGGAAGGAAGGAGAACAGCAAAACAATGACATTGGACTTCAGAAAAGAAGACTTTAGGGAGATGTCAGGCAGGATCCCCAACCCTAACAGAGAGCAAAAGGAGTCCAGGAGAGCTGGCTGTATGTTATTAGGGCTAAGTCCAGACATTTGAGGAGGTTAAATCAGGTTCAAAATGGCCACTTGATTTAAACTTAGTTCATCCTGGTGCCAACCTTGCACTTACAGACCAGCAATCAGTCTAAACTTGCAACTATACAGAAATTCCATGTACACAACCAGTCTAAAAATTTCAGAACCCAGTTTAAGATAAACCTGGATTTATGTAGCATCAAATTTATTTGATTTCGGTTAAACCAGTGCATAGAACTTCTGTATGCATCCCTGCTCTTTTCAACCCCCTCCCCACATTGCATTGTTCTATACCCCCCCGCCGCACGCACGCACGCACGCGCACACACACACACACACACACACACACACACACACAAGAGATTACTGCACTTTATTAAAGGGAGATTACTGCACCTCAACCAAAAAAGCCACTCTGCATGCAGCTGCTTTTATCAGCATTTGCCACTGCTGAAGCTGAGCAATTAAGTCCTGGTAGGGAGAGGAGCAGGAAGGATGGGGGTGTAGGTTTGCTGGGGGGGACCCCACCAACCCCACCTGTGGGTCATGCCAGCCCCACCACCCGCAGGGGTTGACTTACCTGATATTGAGCAGCCATTTTGAGTTGATTTAACTTCCCCTTAATGTCCCTGAATGTCTTTACTTAGCCTGCTCTTGAACCTCTAGGCTATCCTGATGAGAAGAATGGAGCCTTGCTGTGACAGGGGGCCAATCAGGACCAGGTCTTAACATTGACCCATTCCTCTGTCTAGGGCAATCTGCCCTGCCTCACTTGCCATGATTTGCTGGTTAATAAACTTAATGTAAATATGGAGGAGGCTGCCCATTTAATGTCCTCAGTGCCTGGGGTGATATACATGGCTCCGACATTC